TCATGATCATTTCTTACTTTGATCGACTGCCTAATCTTGAAGAATCAGTCTTGATTGATCTAACCGACCATAACTAGAATGTGGACTCGAGGTTATCTGAACATATCTTGAAGAGTATTTTTATCTCCAGAGTATTTCAGTTTTAATGCTAAGTTCAAAGATGAGCACATCCATCTGACATCTCTTCTCCTGAAACCTGGTTTGCTATCTGTTTGACGTAATCAGTGGACTAGCTGTTTTGGTGGTTGCCCTGTTTTCTTATTTCATGCTGAAAAAACAATTTTAATCATTTCAACCCATTTTCATTATAGCTGAAATTGAACTGATAAAGAAATGACAGATTATTCGTTTTAGTGATACATTATTGTTTACATTATTATGGTTCTCTCCTGATCACTAAAGAAAGGTTTGTGTGACATGGAAGTTAAACTGCATGTCTGCTTCACAGCACAACCACTGTGAGCAAAAAGTGTTTAAACCTGGCAACACAGTAAGGGCTGTTCCCCTTAAAGCTTTTAGCTTTTTGGGATTAAAATGTTCTCTAAATAAGGAGAGATCACATTTCCCAGAGTGTCACTTCTCATGTGGGTGATGTACTTTACAGGAAGGTTAATTACCAATGTAATGGTGAATTAGACAAACAAATCCAAAACATCCCAAACAAGTCATGCAAAGTATATCTATACATACTTATCCTATGAAATAGTCTTGCTGAAATATTTTAGCAAAAATGTAAATATTTTAAAATCTGAAATATTCTTGTAGCAGTTTGTGGACTTCTGTGCACAGAAGGCCCACCCACCTGCTGTTCGTGAGAAGTAGCTCATCAGAAGAAAGCTGGTTTAACAGGACAGGAGCTAAAGTGGCTCGTTTCAGAATGAAGGGCTGCCCCAGTAAATCAAAAGAGGTTTAGCCTAATGTTTACCTTTTAACACATTATACAATCTCTTCTTTTACATTAAACCACGATTATGGTCCAATCATAGCTATTAGTTTAAAATAAATTCCTTTAATAATAGTATATCTATATATACTTATATAATCACCTTGTTTGCTGTCCTGCTAGTTTTCTTCTTCTTCCTCTCTGGGAAAATAGCAGCTTGTTAGCAATTTTTCATTTCCTCTTTATTTACTGTAAATAAAAAACTAAGGTCAAGGTTTACATAATTAATACCATGTAAAATAATGGGAAAAAAATCCTTCCTGTTACTTTTATTTTGTACATAGTGAGGCTAATATAAGATCACATGTTTTTATTTGCTTCTTTGACAATTTGTTAGGAGTTTAAAGTGTTCATCTCATTTTATGACACATGGTGAAGAAGAACCCTACACTGTGTGCTCAGTGCTCTTTTAAGTTGAACAGGGATAAGTAGACGTGAACAATTCACTGTGACAAAAGAATGATTAGTATGATCCTGGACAGGTCGCAGGGTTAACGCAGGGAGACAGATAACCATTCGCATACACACCTATGGGTAATTTAGGATCACCAGTTAACCTAACCTCACTAACCACGTGTCTTTGGATTGTGGGAGGAAGCTCGAGTACCCACGACAAGGAGAACATGCAAACTCCACATAGATGGTGAAATTGAACCCAGGACCTACTTGTTGTGAGGTAACAGTGACAGTCACCGCACCATCGTGCTGCAAATGAAAAGCTATATCATCTAAACACAGACAGACGGCCTCAAACAGAATTCAGTTACAAATGGAAGCCACAAACCTTATAGTGCAAAAATGTAAACTCCTTTTAGCAGTGTTGAACCTCTTTCTATTAGATACAAAATGAAACTTAACTGGAATGAAAAGACCAGTAATTACAAGTGAGGAAATAAATGATCACTAAAGCAAATAAAACATTATCTTATTGAATTGTGTTTTTGTACTTGACAAACGTTGGATCATCTCTAGGCCAAAATGGCTTCTCTTTAATTAAAGTACTTATGTGCTCAAAATCTGTAACTTCTTTAAATGGTGCCAGTAAATGTCAAAAAACTAAAACTGCACAAATGCGTTTTGCGCAACATTTTACTTCCATCACTCAGAACTGACTAATGGAAATAGTGCTCTTTATTTGTCCAAACTTCACAAATAGCAGTCAGCTGAAAAGTTATGATTTGTTGACTCGATATAACTGTGATTTAAATTATGGCAAATTCAACACATTTTACTAAAGTAAGTATCATAGCAGTATGTAAGAAAAAAGAGGCAATAACAAGCTCAGATTTCAGTGCCTAGATATCTTTATTTTGACTGAAGTAAAGACAGCAAAGGTCATCCTCCAATGCTTCTCCTTACAGGTGGATGGTGCAAAAATAAACTCCAAAATACAAAAAAAACCCCAAAACAAAACATGAAGCAAATATGCATACAAACAGGTTGTATGAAATGCATATAAACACTTTAATTTTAAGATATGTTATAACACAGTGAAAGGCACTGTTAATAATATTTAATAATTTCACATGACCATGTTACATTATTAGGTAACATCTGAACATTGATTCATGAAGATTTAGTTGCATGTTAATGTAAAAGTAATGCTTACTGCATCTCAATGTGCCTTCACTGTTGAAACGTTTAACAATATTGTTTAATAAAGCTTCATCCCCTCGACTGTGGGTGGAAGCTGGAGTACCCAGAGAGACCCTGAGTACACGTCTATACTCATAGATACTTATATATATCTATTACTCGGGTATTTAGTAATAATAGTAGTGGTAAGTAGTTACATTTATTTTTGTATATTTCCACAACCCTCTATCCATAATCACATACTGTGTATGCTGCTGTTGTATATCGTGTATTATCTTATTTATTTTGTATTTGTTTGCTTATTTTTCTTCTGCTATCTGTACCTGAGCTGAGGTAACGCACAAATATCCCCGCCATGGGATCAATAAAGTCTTATCTTATCTTAAACCATACAAGCACAACATGGAGAGTCCACACACAAAGACTGCCTGCTGGTGGATTCAAACCTTCCCGATATGAGACAGCAGTGCTAATCAATGCACCAGTGCGCTGCCATTTTAAACTGTTATAGTTTAATATATTGAATCCTATTTTTTTTAATCATCTTTCTCTGCAGTAACTGGTGGGTAAAGTTAGACTACTTTTCAATATATCCAGCGTTTCCTTCCTTTATGCTATGCTAAGCTAACTAGCATATGCTACATGAGTATCTTGGAATTTTTCTTTCTAAATATCTTTTGTGTGTCAGGCTGTGTGCTCTGCGTACATTTTAATTTATCAGACATTAAATGACAGCCAACAAGTGACCTCAGCAGTTGCTCAGAGCTGAGCTTGTATTATAAACAGAGTCTGTCTTGTCTCAGGTTACAGGGCCTCATCACTGAGGATGAGCTCAGAGTGCTAACATTTCCACACTGTGTGTATGTGAGCGCTGCTTGTGAACATTACAAGGACCCTGTGTCATATGTATTTGTGGCTTTGTAGGCATCAGACTGTCAGATCATTGGTTCAAACCAGAAACAAGTTTGAATGTGATTGGTTGGTACTCTTGGTACAGTCTGCTGATACAAAATGCCAACTAATTATCTTGATGTGTGTAATGGCTGTAAAAGGTTTTATGGAGTTAAGTATTCTGTCATTTTAAAAAAGTTATTTAAATTCAGCTCTCTGGTAACTTTAGGCATTGTGCCCGTTTATAATGAAGCCAAAAGATCTGTTCACAAGAACAAAGATATACAGAAGAACACATATGGAATAATGTTCAAGTCAGCTTTGAATCATCGGGGCTGCTGCATAAATAAAGAAGTATGTCAGTAAACCAAAGGATGCCAAGGTCAGAAATAGAAGTGGAGACTCTGGATAGCTGCTGTATCTGCATCTCCAAATGACTAAGATATTATTACACCACCCAGATCAGCCTGCTTATTATTCATGGCTCTACAAGAACATCCAAATTAAGACCAGTCAAGGTTGTATTAATGTGAGTGTCTGCAATAACATCCTGATGAAACTAAATATTTTGTAAGAATTTATTCAAAGTATTTGCAGGGTGTTTATAACTTTACCAAAATATCAATACATAATTTCTGGTTTGCCTTGGAAAAGTATTTGAGTATCATGCACAGAGTATAATGTAATGTTGACGTGTACAGTAGCATGCAACATAAAACCTTTTTTATTTTATTTTAGATATATACACCAAGAAAATAGAATAATATATGAAGATAAAAACAAAAAGCATTGAAAAACAATAATTCAGGCTCAGACTTGTACATTTTAAAATGAAGCCAACCCAGATTCGCGTCCAAGATCAAATATAAAATACAGTATGACTCAATAAAATGAAAAAAAAAGTAAAGGTTCAAAGGAAAGGTTGTTTAAAAGAATGTTTCCATCCATTACTGATGCACTCTTTGTAAGATTATAAAGGGTGAAAAAAAGTCAAACAGTTTTTTGAACCTAAATTGTTCAGTGGTGTTTGTCAAAGGCTACTTGGAATAAGAGGATTTCAATATGTAGGGTAAAAAACTAATATTTTCTTACAGTGTAAAGAAAATGTTTTAATGTTAGAGGAAAGGATAACCTTAGAACGGTTGACATCACCCATTGGTTTTAGTCCCACTATAAAGCTTCAAGATGAGCAATTTTGCCAATTTTCTCCTGATATTTTGAAACTGGGCGTCATGAACAAGGAGCAGACATGACAAGAACCTCAGGGGACAAAGCCCAATTTTAACGATACACTTCGATAAACAGTTTTACGATCATTTGAGCCTCCCCCACACACCCTTCACATTTAGCTTTGACATGCAGCCTGCAGAGATCCAGAAGGGGAACCTTTAAATAAGAACCGATATCAAACTCACAGATCAGGACATTGTGAAGTCAGGTGACCACCAAAGGCATTGGGCCGAAGATGATTCCTTTAACTTTCATGCCACAAGGAATCGAAAATAACTGTAATTTAAAAGTACTTATAGTACTTCAGTTTGGACCACATAATACAAGATTAATTGCTAAATACCATTCATTATATCAGGGAAATATTGTTACAAAGAATGGTATATTGAAGAAATAGAACCCATACGACACTGGTGAACATTTATTGGCCTGCAGGTATTTTCGGTGTGGTTGTATTTTGGATGTTTATGCGATTCAGGTTGTTATGAATGTTAATAAACTGGTGATGGAGGGGATACATTCTCAAAGACATCTTCTGCATGACTAGTTTTCTCTTCATCATCATCTTCTTCCCTGTGATTGTCTACAAACATACAGGCCTCTTTTGGACATCTGTAATAGTCACTGGGATCTGTTTCCTTAAAATCACAGTCGCCATCATTCACTGGCTCCTCATAGTCATCGCTCAAGTCTCCATCCTCTCCTGTAGCTTCACCTTTTATTTTTTGATGCAGATCAACATTCACATAGACCTCCTCATCGCTCTCAATGTCTCCCCACGTGTAGTCATTCCCAACTTGGACAACCACTGAAACACACGTAAAGGAAAACAATGTGAATATATAGTTAAACTTGTAATCATTTAAAATTGTGTCTCTTGGTGAGTACACACTTTGAGTTTGGATGAGAGCTGCAGGCTGCTTGTGTTGTCGTTTTCTTCTGAGGATCAGCCACACCGCTAAGAGCAGCAGCAGGAGCAGCAGCAGGATTACAACAGATACAGAGGACACCAGCGGCATCAAAGACACTAGGAGGACAGCATTTGTCTATTAGAACACATTCTGTCCCACTGAAATGAACTGCTTCTCATTTAGGTTGTTAATGCAGAGCAGGGATGTCAAACCCATTTTACAGCGGAAGCCAAATACAGCCCACACTCATATTAAGTGGGTTGAAACAATGAAACTCTGTCAGTGTACAAAAGTTATTGTACATTTAATCCCTGCAATATTTCAATATAAGAAAAAGAAGTGCAAGTTCAACAATATGTCTCAGTTTTTCTGTAGTATACAATGACAAAACCCAAACTTTTTTATTTAATTGTTTATCTGTTACTTAATTACTTTGATGTAGTAATGAATGACTGTGGGTGAGACCTTTGTCAGTAGGACAAGCTAAAAAGTCTATGAAAATTCAGATAAAGTCTAAAATTTATGCCAGATTGGAGTCTTTCCCATGTCGATTTGTTTGACATCTCTGGTCCAGAGCATGTATAAGCAAATACAAATAGCAAAGGATTGCTTTGCTAGGATATATTATCAGTTGTGCTTGTTCCTGTTTCTGTTCAGTTTTGTTTCTATATCAGAACTGCCTTCTGACTTATACCTGCTTCTCCTTTTCTTTCTTTTTAAATGCATACAAATTTAGAAATTAATAGAATGAGAGACGTCTGAGGGAAAAATACTGCCCAGTAGAATTGCCAGTGATATTTATGATTCTTCTTTCTTAGTAAAAAATAAAAATACATATATTTAACAGTGTACTTACATTTAATGATGACAGTAATCGGTGCAGTTTCAGCAGATCTGAATGTCCGTGTGGACACTGTGACCTCGTACACACAGCTGTAGTTGCCCTGCTGTTCATACTCAGCTACAGGGAAACTAAAGGAGGCTGAGTTGTTGACTGCTGGCTCTGTGAGGTTGGAGCCAGAGAAGCTGAGAATAAAATGTCCACTGGAAAATGTCGAGTTAATGGAACAGGTGAGGACAAAGCTGTAACCCCTGGTGATCTGTGCACCTTCAGGACCCCAGACAAGTCCTGCATTAGGAAACGTCAAGGAGATGCTGGGCCTCTGAAGTCTCACTGTGTGAAAACAGATTGAGATTAAGATCATGATTTTCTTTACTTTGTAATGTTTAAGACATTTAAGTGCAGCATTAGTAACGTATTACTCAATGCTTTTAAAGATGAACTGAACTGTTTGTGAGTGTGTTAACAGACACTTTATTATCATACTGTAATTCATGGTTAATTCAGACAGTTACTAGTTGTTAAGTATTTTGTGTGACGAGTAAAGGGACGACTTGCCTTATAAAGCATTTAGAAAAAAATGAAAGTAGCTGAAGACTCGAACAAGTCTCAGCTATCTTCACAACAGATAAATGACACAGACAAAGAACAAAGACATACACGACATGTAAATATTTATTGCCAGTTACAAACATAATCCCCCCGAGGTTTGCAAAATACTGACATGTAGTTAAGACCAGAGTCTAAACCATAGTTTATAAGGTGGATTTAGGAATAAAAGATACACTGGACAGCTGGAGCCACAGGGTAGCTTTGCCTCATTATACTAAGACTAGTAAGGTGATCACAAGGCAATAGTGAGTTTTTCAAAGAGCTTCACAAATATCAAGTATCCCTCATGATACACTGATACTGCAAGGAAACCAGGAGGAACCAAACATGCAGGGAGAACATGCAAACTCCACAAATAAAGGGTGTGCTAGATGTTGGGGTCAAACTCAGGACCTTCCCACTGTGAGGCAACAGTGCTAACCACTGCACCACTATCCTCACTTTAGAGAAGACCACACAAAATACTTAAAATACACACAAAACTAACAACTAGCAACTACCTTAATTTACAATAAAAAAATAACCACAATTAATACACTCACAAAAATCTTAATCATTTATATACATATATAAGATAAGATAAGATAAGATAAGATAAGATAACCTTTATTAGTCCCACACGTGGGAAATTTGTTTTGTCACAGCAGGAAGTGGACAGTGCAAAAGTTATGAGGCAAAAATTAGAATACAATAAGAATAAATACAGTACACAACTGTACAGAATAGAATAAAATAAAATACTATATACAGTAGAATAAAATAAAATAAATATACAATAAGATAAAAATAGAATACAAATACAAATATGTATATATTTGTGTGTGTCTCTAAATAATAATAATACTTAGAATTTCTGAATTAATCATGAATAAAATTTAAATCTGTATTTATAAGTTACATACTAATGAGGAGTAGTGCTTTATAAATGATGAGTTACGCACTTACTAATACTTTACTAACAGTGTGACATTATTTTCAAGTGTTACTGTTTTTTGTGACCTGGTGAATGAAATTCCACCATTGACTCTTTTAGGCCCCAACTTAACATTTAGCTCTTTTTAGCTGCTAAATGCTCCACAGTGTGTAATAGTTTGTTTCCAGTAGTCTGTGTTTAGTCCTCAGTACTGTGGGCTTTGAGAGCATTTTGTCAGGCAGTCAGAAACTTTATAAAACAGCAACTGCTGTTATAAATACTAGAAAGAACTACTGCAGTATCCTCTTATATACATTGCTATTAATTATTGACTATCATACATACTGTATGCATACATATGTTCGAATGCTGTTCATAGATTTCAGTTCAGCATTCAACACCATAATCCCCCAACAGCTCATTCAAAAACTGGTCCAGCTGGGGCTCAACACCTCACTGTGCAACTGGCTGTTGGATTTCCTCACCGGTAGACCTCAAGCAGTACGGGTTGGCAGTAATACATCCAGCACCATCATTTTAAACACGGGGGCCCCGCAGGGATGTGTGCTGAGCCCCCTCCTCTTCACTCTGCTGACCCATGACTGCACTCCATCATACAGCTCCAACCTCTTCATCAAGTTTGCGGACGACACAACAGTGGTGGGTCTCATTAGCAACAGGGATGAGACCGACTACAGAAGTGAGGTGAGACGCCTGGCCACGTGGTGTGCTGACAACAATCTCTCTCTGAATGTGGAGAAGACGAAGGAGATTGTTGTGGACTTCAGGAGAATGCACGCCCAACATGCTCCTCTGACCATTGACGGAGCGTCTGTGGAGAGAGTGAGCAGCACCAAGTTCTTGGGTGTGCACATCACAGAGGATCTCTCCTGGTCGTACAACACCACAGCACTGGCCAAGAAATCACAGCAGCGTCTCTTCTTTCTCCGCAAACTAAGAAGAGCAGGAGCACCAGCCCCCATCATTCACACTTTCTACAGAGGCACCATCGAGAGCATCCTGTCGAGCTGCATCACTGTGTGGTTTGGAGCCTGCAATGCGTCCTGTCATAGAACCCTCCAACGCATAGTGAGAGCTGCAGAGAGGATCATTGGTGTCTCTCTCCCCTCCCTCCAGGACATTTACAGCACCCGTCTCACTAAAAAAGCCCTTTGCATAGCGGCTGATCCCACGCACCCAATGCAAAGCTTCTTCAAGCTGCTGCCGTCAGGGAGGAGACTGCGGAGTCTCCGGGCCAGGACCAGCAGGCTGAAGGACAGCTTCATCCATCAGGCTGTCAGGAAGCTTAACTCCCTCCCGATTCTGCCCCCTCTCCCCTCTCTCCTCCACGGTCTCACTGAACTCTGTCATACACACACAAACACACACACTCTCTGATTCACTCACTGGCCTGCACCAGTTACCAGTCACTTTGTGGAGCATTGGACTGCCATTACCTCATAAGACTTTGTTGCTACACTTTCTCTTACCGTACATTACTAAATCTCCTTTTGCACTATTTGCCTATTTGCACTACTCTGCCTGGTTTACACTCAATGTCACTTACCCATTATATTGTATATTATATAGCTTTCTTGTTATATGTAAAATTGTATTTATTTAAATTTTTACTTTTTAATTATTTTACTTGCATTTTTAATCACTTTTATATTTAAATATATTTAAATGTCCATTTGCTATTTATCTAGGGATTGAGAGTAACGCAATTTCTATTCTCTGTATGTCCTGTACATGTGGCAGAATCGACAATAAAGTTGACTTTGACTACTACATGCTATCATTTGTTTTCTTACCTGTAACAGAGAGCCTAACAGAGTCACTTGTTGGGGAGTAAAATTGTTGACTTGGGCCGCTTTCCTGATACTGACACTGGTACAATCCCTCATCATCAAAGTCTACTTCAGGAATATTGAAGGTAGCAGAGTTTGTGTTTGAGTTTTGGGTCCTGTTGAATGAATCTGATGTTTTCATCAGAATGAATGTTCCACCTAAAGTTTGAGTTGAGATTGAACAAGAGATTCCAATGTTCTGACCCCAGGTCACCTCACCAGCAGGACTGATGGAGATATTGGGTTTGCTTACTGAAAAGAAAAAAACCCAAACAATATTAAATATATTGGTAGTTGAGTGACTACCCTTTGATTATTTATAGAAAACAAATGCAACATGGTGTTCAGGAAAGTGTATTTCTTCTTACCAGTAACAGAGATTCTGACAGAGTCACTGAGGGGGGAGCTGAATGTGTTACTTGAAATGCGTTTCTCATACTGACACTGGTACAGTCCCTTATCACTGAAGTCCACTCTGTGGATATTGAAGGTAGCAGATCGGGATCCTGTTTCAGTCTGACTGAAATTACTTGAGGTTTTCTTGAGGGTGAAAGTTCCATCTAAGAACTCAGATGAGACGGAACAAGTGATGCTGATATTCTGACCCCAGCTAACCTGACCTTCATTTACAGAGATGCTGGGTTTTGGGAGACTCGCTGAAAAGTCCAAACAAAAAGAATAGTGTGAGTTTTAACAGATCACAAAGTCAAGCTACACCGATGTCCTCAGCTAATCCCAATAACAATCCATATGGCTCAACTGATACCAGTTTACATATCCAACTAGCAATTCTCTTTACAAATGGTAAATGGCCTGTATTTGTATATTGTTTACACGTCCAGTCATCCACCCATTCACACACTGATGATGGCAAGCTACATTGTAGCCACAGCCGCCCTGGGGTGCACTGACAGAGGCGAGGCTGCCGAACACTCGTGCCACCAGTAGGCAATGGGTGAAGTGTCTTGCCCAAGGACACAACGACCGAGACTATGCAAGTCTGGGCTCGAACCGGCAACCTTCCGATTACAAAACTCTTGAGCCACGATCGCCCCACAGTAACATTTAGTGACATTCTCACTGCAAGCCACTTTGCAACCCACTATCACATCCACTTTATTTTTTCAAGCTTTCTTTCAAGAATCAATATCATGCCTGCTGGCATTGTAGGCTGTTCTGTTTTGTTCTACAATGGGCTGATATTGCTGCTTTCCCACATCTAGTTTTAAAAACGTGCAGGGAAGGTGTCAATTGCTGGAATTGAGCCAAATTAACAAATCACTGCAGGATTACATAACAGTTATTCTTTTGAGTGTCCTCGATAGAAATTAGGTCTAGATGCTAAATTTACAGTCGAAGCTTTGACCTAACTCGAACATCTTGTTTTGAAACTTCACAAACTTCAGTGAATGAAATGAGAAAATCACCATGATCAATGACAGAATTTGCACCGGCAATCAAATATGTGTGTGTGTGTGTGTGTGTATATACATATATATACACACACACATGTAAATGTTAACTGCAAAAAGTCACTAATGATTACACAGTCTTTAAAATAATTTGGAGATGGTGTTTTTTTCTAGTGGAGCAGCAGAAGGATTGACTGTATTAAAACAGCAGCAGCAAGGACACTAAAACAGAATGAACACGTTCCATTTTTCCTTAAAATAAATTTCTGACCATCGGTGTGATGTATTTCTACTTATTTAGTTTGTCAGTCTAGAACATGTAGTTTTCACCCAAATCAGCTTTAGTTCCTCTTTTGCAAAAACCCTTCGGTTTCTCTTACCACCAAAAATCTGCAGCACTGATGAACTTTGACTTAGAATATTTGGCATTGTTGCTACATACACACGTGCACACACACATATTTATATATATTCGATATATATATTCTGATAAACAAAGAAAGGTAAAGGGCAGCTTATGACAGCATAGAGTATAAATTTGTTAGAGCTGCTTGTTTTCATCGTCCATATTGGCAAGCTTTGAAATCCACTCTGTTCATGTTTTAACCTCTGTTATATTATCTTAAGGAAAATGCAGAGCACACAAAGAGGCATGCATGCATGTATTAAAAATAAAAAGAGGGAAATACAAATGCAAAATACAAAATTAAGGCAAGGGGGAAATGAGAGGTGAGCAGGAAGAAAAATCTAAAATCTGAAAAAATGTTAAGACATAAACATAAGTGACAGCCTTAGCAATGTTTTCAGTTTTTGAGACATCTTACTCCAAAAGGTCACAGACTTTAATAAGCAGCCCACTCTTCTACTTCTTCTTCTTCTCATCATCATTATTGTCATCATTATTATTATTATTATTAACTATTAGATATCTTTTGCTTTGAAGAGATGCAGGGCAGTTAATATAATCATATTCCACTGATCCCAATATAATCAGTTAGGATTACCAATTAACTCAATATACATGTCTTTGGGAGGAAGCCAGAGTAGCAAGAAACAGCCCACACTATCACTGGAAGAACATGTAAGCTGTGCAGCATCAAAGTGACACTTTCAAGTAGTAATCACATGTTGACATTCTCTACAAAAAGGATGTAAAAAAACAAGTATGTCAAACCCCATTATAATGAGATCTCCAAATGCTAACCTTAGCCGAGCCTTAGCTAATTCACAAATCAAAACTGAAGGAGTGAGGCTGTACTACGCTGATCTATCAAATAAAATTAATCTTGAGTTTATCACCTACAAGAAGCATCTGAAATCTCAGACATACCATCATGAGTTAGCATGAAGCTGGAAAAGTAACCTGATAGATGTTAGACATTCATCTGCTATAATAACTGTCTTTAAATAAAGGGATGTCAACATTATACTAGTTAGAGGAAAGTTAAAAGACTAAAAATAAAGCACAAGTAAAGAACAACTGCATGTCAGTTCATGTGTAAAAATTTAATTAATTGAAGGAGTTTGTCCAGCAGAAGGAACTGAAACCAAGTGTGCACAAATGAGGGCCAGACTTTAAGTTAACTAACATGATGATGGATGACCTGATGAGATCTGCTGGTGCTGACCACTCGACTGCTCCAGCTCCACCAGATTATGGTGGAGCTGTGAAGAAGACTGTTCACAAAGCTGTTGCTATGTGAACGTACTTATTTTTAAGCTTTACTCGAGAGTTCATTTATTTTCCATAAACACTAAAAATGTTTAATGAGTAATAACAAAGAAAACAAATATTATAATTTCAGTGTTTCTGCTCACCTGAACAGACGACACCCGCATCTTCACCATGTCCACAGTTGTGTGTCCCGAATCCTCTGTGCTGACACTCAGTTAGAGAACTTTCACTCCCTGAACAGGCCACATCATCAAGCAAGATCTGTCCACTTCCTTGACCAAAAAGGGCAGATGAAGTGGCACTCAGGGCTGTACCACAGTCTAAGGATCTGCAGACCACTTCAGCATCCTCTAAGTCCCAGCCATCATCACAGACTGTTCCCCACGCACTACTGTGGTAGATTTCTACTCTTCCAAAGCACTGACTCAACCCAGACTCAGATAATCTGATATGGGCACCTAGTCACAGGAACATTTGTTTAAAAAGTGTTAGTGTTTTCTTTTTTATTGTTTGGTCATGCAACCATCACACACACTTACCAACAATAATGATTATGAAAGATAACATACTTTGTATCATTTAAATTCTGAAGAAACCAAAAGAAAGCCAAAAGCCAATAACCCAGCCCAACTTTCCTTCTTGCCATTTAGTTTAGCTCAGTTATAGTGACTGGGTCACAGAGTTGTTCATCTAAACAGAGAAAGATACATTTATTCAGCACAATTTATTAGAACATTATCTCACCTAAACAGACAACACCAGCGTCCTCGCCATGTCCACAGTTGTGTGTCCCAAATCCACTGTGTCCACACTCAGTTATAGAGCTTTCAGTTCCTGAACAGGCCACATTATCAAGCCAGATTTTCCCACTTCCTGGACCAAAGTCAGCAGATGAAGTGACCTTCACCGCTTTCCGACAGCCCAGCTGTCTACAGACCACGTTGGCATCATTTAAGTCCCAGTCATCATCACAGACTGTTCCCCAGGAGCCACTGTGATAGACTTCAACCCTTCCAGAGCACCGAGTGGACCCAGACCCAGCTAGTCTGATCTGACCTATCAGCACATAATATAAACTGTATATAATATTGTCCTTTAAAAATAATTTTTTTTATATTTAAGCATGTATGTATAACACATGAGAAGACACTGACCTGCTGCAGGTGCGAGAAAGGCAAAGATGCAAGAAACTACTGAAGAAGAAAACGTGAGATTACACAGGACAAAGGTTGGCAAAAAAATAAATAAAACAAATATAATGATGAATGTTTGCATTGAACACTGAGACTTAAAGACTGTCTCATGCTATCTCCGTACAACATAAAGAAAAGTATTATACATTATAGAAATTATTGCTTACCAAGCATCAGAAAGTGAAGACCGTTCTGCTGTGTGCCTGCCATGACTGACCACAAAAAGCTGCTTCATGTCATTTATGAGAGCCAGGCGACAGTAAAACGAACTTCCCCTTCAGATTTCCGGTGGGTTTTTTGTGGATTGCTGAATACCATTTGCAAACATAATCCTAATTTCTAATTTAGTCTCTTAGTTGTTGTAAATCATCACAGTTTGAATAGGACTGGAAACAAATTTGCAACAGGTCTTCAACACGTTATCCATGAGAACAGACACTGTCTCCATCTAGTGGTCACACTGTAGTATTAACCTAGATTACAAGTTACCTCGATCGCTTTGATTTTCCTCACACCAGACTGTGTTTTCTGAAGTGTGTAATGTACAGTTTAGCAGAGGTAGAGCTTTTGTTTATTGCCGGTGTCGTGCCAAGGTTGGTATCCCCGACAAAATTTGTTTCCCCTGCGTGGCAAGCACGCAATGGAAAGAATTTCCAAATCACTGACAAACAGTATCACTCATTCTTGGTTTTTAGTTCAGATGCACTTCTTATTATGACTTATTACTCCGAAATGTTTGAGTTGTAGCTCTTTGAAGTGAAGTTACACTAGGAAAAAAAGTAATTATCGGGCAAAATTTCTTTGATTTGTCAAAAATAATCCTGTCCGATAAATGAACAATAAATGTATCATTTTCTGATTGTAACTCACAAACTGAACGGTAATGTAACGACGCTCATCTTTCAATTTTTACTAAAGTAAACATCACTACTTCGTCTAGTTGGTTGTAATGCAGGCAGAGTCAACCAGACATACTCCCGACGCAGGGGAAGCAAATTCTGTCGCTGATCCCTACCTTGCCACGACACAGGCAAACTGGTGTTGTGGCGAAAAGTGAATTCCGGGAATTTAAACGGTTATGAATGACATGCTGGCCTATAATCTGCCAAACATAAATCTAATGAATCATATAAAGTCATTTTGAGCCAGGAAGAATATTCTCAAGGTACTGAGCACCAGTGGCAGAGCGGGGGGGGTGGCTTACTGGGCTTAAGCCCGGGTTGTTTTTTCAGAAGCCCGGGGTCTTTTGGAGTGTAATTTTTTTTCATAGTTAGATGCCTGGCTGACAACTGTATAAAGCAAAAAACTACACACAATATTCGAAGCACATAGTGCACACTGTGGGAATTTATGACTGTGCGTAAACCCCCCTAATATTGGTATGATCCGAGCTCAGGCACTAAGCGGGGCAGGGCAGCTGCTGCCTAAGAGTGCGCTGTTGGAGAAACGGAGCTAGGCAGACAGAGGAGAAGTGAAGTTTGACTAGGTACTAGTGATGTGCGATACCACTGATTTTCTTTCCGATCGGATACCAAGTAATATTCAGGGTGGTATCGACGATACTGATCCGATACTTTGTGCACAAACTTATTTTATTTATTGTATCTCAAATTGTAGCATCATAATGATTACAGGACATCAGATTTCTTGTTCTTATCACTTAATAATGCAGAGTTCATCATATAGAAATAAAAAAAACTGAAGTTGTGCACTATTTGAACACCTTGCCTGCCTGCAGCACTAAAGTACTCCGTGAGAGACGTCTGTCTCACCCTAGCAGCACCTGTCCCTGTCCTCCTCTTCAGTTCGCCTTGTTACGTCCCCACATAAAAGCTAGGCGGTGAGGGTGGGGGACAGTAACAGTTGGATCCGGGTGAAATGAAAAGAACGCCAGGCAGAGGTATTTAACAAAAATTAAATCTTTATTATAATCAAATACCTCAATAATCATATAAATGGTAACAACAAAAAGAGACTGCTCCGCTGCTTTAATGATAAATCAGACAGGTCAACCCAAGGAGATAGTGACCACTTCAACAAAGAAAACAACTATACGGCTTCAACAAAAAAAAGACAGCAACGCTGCTATTAACAATACCCAGGCAGGCCAAACAAAATAATGGAGGCCGCTGTCACTTAAGGGAAACCACCGCTCAGTTAAGAACTACTCACAAAGTCTTAGCTTACATTTAATATTTTCAGTTGTTTCCCTCCACGGCTAAACAAACTCTCTAAATCGGTTTCAATTGTGTACTGATGAACACAACAATGGACATAAGGAGCTTCTTTCAAAGAAAAAACTCAGGTAGATGTTATTTTATATATTGTGCTTTGGATGTTGTTCAGTATATCTATAAAAAACAAGAGGAATTTCAATACACAGCAGTATATTCACAGTTTAAACCAGATATTTACATACACTTTAGGGAGAAAACATAAAAACATTTTTTTACTGTTAAACATCAATTTAGAGTAAACTTGTTTTGTTTTAGATAAATAAATATTGAAATATCTTTTGAATTAGTTAAATGTCAGAATAAAGAGAGACAGAGCTTCTATTTTAATCACTTTCATCAAATTTAGGAGTACATATACACTAAATTTATTGTTAATTAATAAGAAAACTCCAGACGATTCCATTCTGAGCTGAAGAAGCTTCTGATAGGTTAGTAGAGTCCATGTGAGTAAACTGGTGGCACACCTGTGGATGCATATAAGGCAAAACACAGAGCCTGTTTCTGTGACATGGGAAAATCAAGAGCTGTCAACCAAAACAACAGGAAAAGAATTGTGGAGCTCCATAAGTGTGGCTCAAGTTTGAATACAATTTGGTGCCATTTACAATTAAGAAATACAGACAGTTTATCTCTTTACTCTTAAAGTTAACAAATATGTTTTTTATATTTATCAATCTAAAAAAAATAAACATTTAGTCTGATTTGATGTTACAATGAAAAAAGTGTTTTGATCTGAAGAGTAAATATCTGGTTTCAACTGTATATTTGATGATGTTGGTGTTTGGCTTGATTGTCAGCACAAAGAGAGAGAGAGAGAGGAACAGAGAGAGAGAGAGAAGAACAGAGAGAGAGAGACAGGAGCAGAGAGAGAGAGAGAGAGAGAGAGAGAGGAACAGAGAGAGAGAGGGAGGAACAGAGAGAGAGAGAGACAGGAGCAGAGAGAGAGAGAGAGAGAGAGAGAGAGAGGAACAGAGAGGGAGAGAGAGGAGCAGAGAGGGAGAGAGAGAATGACGACAGAACAGAGATGGAACAAGAGCAGGTGAGACACACATGTTAGTCAAATGGTTGTTTGCCAAAACTCACCAGAACATGTATCTCGTACCTAGTGTAACTTTTTAGATACCATTTGTTACTTTTCAAATTCTATATTTATTAAGTTCTGCAGCTTGTTTGCACAACAAGGCTAAATAATTATATAAACATTTCTCAATCTAAATATTGTACTTTGGTAGAATTAAAAAATAAGTGTAGTGCAGGTCTATGATGACTTTTAGTGCTACTATCATCTAGTTCTGATTCTGGTTCTGTCTTGGTTACTGTTGTAGTCGTTTTAATTCCGGATCAGTTCTGGGTCTGGTTGAATTGGGGTTTAGTCCTCGTGTCTTGATACAGGCCCGACTTTGTTCTGCCTTGCTGCTTAATTAAAAAACTATTTTAAGGTGTCCTGCATATGTATATAGAAGTGTGTGTATATATATATATATATACATATATATATATATATATATATATATATATATAGGAAGTCATTCTTTTTTGAACGAAACTCAAAACAGACCATAATAATCTTTCAGTCATTTCTACCCTCACTTAATTTCCTTTCGCTGCTCAGCTCTAACAAAGTGGCTCAGTTATGCTCCAATCACTCCATATTGTGGCCAATCAAATGCGAGGATATAGGATAATATCATTATGTGAAAAACAGAGAGGGTGAGAGACAGGACAGTCAAGTGGAGCATCCGTCTGTCCTCTCAGTAAGTGAGTGAGACAGTAGACAGCGGTGAGGAGGGCTGTGCGAAAGCAAAAACACATAAATATGCCTGTAAACGAAGCAGGATCTGGCTGCAGTTTAAAGACTTTTTTTGTCTCGGTCTTGGTCTTGGTCTTATCTTGGTCTCGATACCCTCTGGTCTTGGTCTTGTCTTGGTCTCGGATTAGGCGGTCTTGACTACAAGTCTAGATGGATGCAATAAAACCACCAAGTCCGTTGAAACTGACTGGAAACGTGGATGCAAGTTGGAGGACTTTCAAACAGCAGTTCAAACTGTATATTGCAGCTGTTGGAGTGGATCGACGGGCAGATGAAAGGAAAATAGCCATGCTGCTCACCATCGCCGGCACAGAAGCAATAGAGGTCTTCAACACTTTTGTGTTTGCTCAGCCCGAGGACAAAGATAACTTTGATGAAGTCATGAAGAAATTTGACGAGCACTGTCTGTCAAAGAAAAATAAAACATACAAGAGATACGTCTTTCGCTCACGCTTACAGCATCAGGGTGAGTCATTTGATACTTTTGTCACAGACCTCAAGATCAAAGCTCCGTCCTGCAATT